TTTAGTGTTAAACATCGCGGTTGTTCGGCCAATTAACTCGTATCGCTCTTTTATTGACTGTCGTCGTCCAGTCTGCTCTCGTCAAGTTCGTGACAATCGGCTCCGAGTAGCCTTACCTACTCTACCATACTTCGCGTCCACGTGCGCGGTTGAACGCTCTTCGCTCCACGACACGACGGTGCATACGCTCGCACCCGTGTTCCAGATACAGCAGCTCCGCACCTACAGTTCACCAGCTCAAGACATCGGCCAGGGAGGCAGCTCAGTCGGTGATCCCCGTTTCCCCCCTGACTTAATATTGTATTATTGTATAATTGAATTACCTACCTACTGTTCATGTGGTATACCTAACAATACATGCTCCTGATAGTTAGTAATCTCGTGTTATTTTTGAATCTTATAAATTGCCTTATTCTACAACAATCCTGAGGACCTCGTACCAGGCGATATCTGATCTTAAGGATCGCCGGGTCAACATTTTGGTAGCAGAGCGTGGTTGGTTGGTCCATCAACATCTGGTACTCTGGATTCGCGTGAGTAATGCATTTTGTTTTTAGTTTTGGCTTATGAGTATAAGGTGTGTACATTTATTTATCCTTTTCCTCACTCCTATCGATAGTAGGTACTGTTCAGTAAGAAGACAGTAATTAACTCAACCGACTGCTCAGTCATTAATTAATTGTTTTATTTATTGCTATTAATACAAGTCAGATTTATTATTTAGTGTTGAGTTTTATTTACTGTATTCGTGCTCAAGCGTTTACTACTGTAGTAACGTTATTCAATTGAATTTACTTTAAATATTACATATTTATTAGACGGTGCTCTCTGGGTTAAATTATTTATTGTTTTATTTATTGTATTATGTATGGGTATTAACTAGTATAGGTTGTTCACTAGTTGCTGGTCTGGTTAGCACCTACCTCATTGGTTATACTATTTAATTGGGTGGATTATTATTAATATTTTGTTGTCATGCTATTGACATCTGAGTTTTAACAGGGCTTATCACTCACCTTTAGTGCATTATTACATAGTTTAGTATTTAGGTGTGCGTCGTGGGTCGTGCCAAGGATCAGGTATTGTACTATCACACAATATATTATTATTTGATTATTTGTTTTATATTATCCACTCTAGGTTGCTCAATTGAGGGTTTTATAGTGCAGATTTGGTTGTCTAACTTGTTCATAGTTAGTATAATTAATTTTAATATTATATTTAGTACTGCGTCGCCTGGATACACCTGAGTTCTATTCAAGTTTAAATTAATTAGGTGCTCCCCTGTTGTTTAGACTAGTTTTAACTGTTAATAGTTATGATATGGTTTGTGGGCTATTGATTATTTTGCCGCTTGCTTAGTTATTGCCTACATCATAGTCAACGCTTGTTTATATTTATTAATTGACTCGTTCATGGCCTTTTTATAGTGCTCATTCGGTAGTCATTTATTTGTTCATTGATTTTTCGGCATCGTTGATCAACGTTTGTACTGTGTGATACCAGTTTTAGTAATCTTTTGTTTGTGCTTACTTTTTGATCATATCCTTGAAGTGATATTGACTTCAACTAGCAATTTGTTCTCGCTCTAGTTCAATATTGTTAGTCTCTGGCTTTGTAACTTCTTGGTGCAGTCAATATAATGGCTGGGGAACGTGATGCTCGTGCGAAGGAGCGTGCAATCCTGCGTAGGGATCAAGTCATCGCTCGAATTCGCCAGATACACTTATTGGCCACAAGCTCAGCCACTGATGAAGCTAGTAGATCTCAACTAGCTGTGGCTATTGTCGATATTGATAGCTTGTGGGCCAGCTTTGTTATTGAGAACAATAATCTTCTAGACATACTTACCGAATCGGATTTGTTGGGGGAGTTTTCTGTGAACTTAGAAACTGAGACCCGTGCTTTGGTGGTAGAAGCTAAGGCCTTGTACAAGGCATCTCAACCAACTCCAGCTTTTAATGTCGGTACGGTTCAACAAGTATCGTATGAGGGTATAGTTGACCAAGCAAGTTCTTCTGCTGGGGGGTCGTCCAAGGATTGCTCAGTTCCCTATCCTCCGTTGGCTGTGGCACCTATGAGGTTGCCTGAAATCCCTCTGCCTACTTTTGATGGTGAATGCCACAACTGGCCAGCCTTTAGGGACATGTTCGTCAATTTGGTGGCTAACAACGATAAGATCCCGAATGTTACCAAGTTCTATTACCTGGTGGGGTGTCTGCATGCTGATCCGCAAGAAGTCATCAAGGGATTTTCGATTTCAAATGAGTCTTTTACTCTTGCCTGGGACGCATTGATCGAACGCTACGATAAACCGCGCAGGTTAGCTTCGTCAATAATCGATAAGTTAATATCCGCTCCCGCCTCGAATTCTGAAAATCTTGCAGTTCTGCAGACCTTTATGTCGGTTTTCGACGAAAACATCACGATCCTGGAGTCGCTCCAGATCCCGGATCTAGCGTCGTTTCTGTTATTTTCATTGGCTGCTAGGTGTCTACCTACATTCTCGAGACGTCTTTTCGAGGCTGAAAACAATGAAGAATATCCGTCGATACAGAGCGTGATCAAGTTCGTTAAAACGAGAATCCAGGTTCTTGAAAATGCAGGTGTACAATCGGCAGGAAGCTCCTCCTCGAAGTCGGCCAATATCAAGAAAACTGGTTTCCGTCGGGAATCGAAGACCGCATTAGTATCGACGCCCAAACATTCCTCGACCAAACCTACTTCGGCGTCATGTTATGTTTGTTCCGGTGCTCACCAGCTAGCTGATTGCGCTAAATTTAAGGCTTGCTCGGTCGATGAACGCTACAAGGTGGTGTGCACGCATCGCCTTTGCATGGTCTGTTTGATTCACGGGCACATGTCGTTTAAGTGTTCCTCTTCGTGCCCCATATGCAAGAGGCGCCATCATGCGCTACTACATCGAGATCAGGAACCGTCGAAACCCGCTCCTCCGGCTGCCATGTTAGGCCGCCAACAAGCTCCAACGGTCTTGCTCGGGACCGCTTTGGTACATGTACGAGATACAATTGGCAGTTGCCAGACCGTGCGCGCTCTGATCGATTCGGCATCGCAGATCAGTGCAATCACATCGGCTTGCTGTAACCGCTTGGGATTACAGCCCTCGCGATGGACAGTACCTGTGACTGGTCTTTCCGGCCACAAGGTTCCGGATGTACAGGGTATTGTTCAGCTGACGATCCAGCCCAAGGGATAAGCCAACGCCAGCGATCCAGGTCAAGCCTTGGGTACTCTCTACCATCACGTCAGATATGCCAGCTCGACAACTGCCAGTTCAGGTACGAGCCAAATGCAGCCATCTGATGTTGGCCGACCCAAGCTTCGATGAGCCAGCTCCAGTGAGATGCTCATTGGCGCGGATAAATTTCCCCAAGTATGGAAGAACAAGTGCAGCTCGCTGGGTCCAGGTTTCCCTTCCGTTTACAGCTCAGTATTTGGCTGGGTGCTAATTGGTCCTGTTCAGGATATTCCAGATATTGGTGCACAAGCTATGTTGGTGTCGCTAGTATCGTCCATGGAATCCATCATAGAAAGGTGGAGGAAGGTGGAGGAACCTGAAGCTGCTCCGCCTCAGTTCACCGAAGACGGATTGTGTGAAGAACTGCTCAATTCGGATATGCGCAAGGATCAAGCCCATCAACCCTCAACCTATGATGGCTGATCTGCCTAGGTTTCGCGTTCAGGAAGCTCATCCGTTCTCAGTCGTTGGTATAGACTATGCAGGTCCCTTGCAAATGAGGGAACTCAGCCTGCGAAAAGCTCGTATCGTGAAGGTATACATTGCGGTATTCGTTTGTATGTCCACCAAAGCGGTGCACTTGGAACCAGTTTCTGCCCTGTTGACCGAGGATTTTCGATTAACGTTAGATAGATTCGTGGCTCGTCGTGGTCTACCGACGTCGATCTACTCGGACTGTGGCACCAATTTTGTCGGTGCAGCAAGGCAGCTGCGACAATTAGTAAATCATCCGGATAATAGAGATCAATTATCTGGTCATATTGCGTGCGTGTGGCATTTCAATCCTCCTGGTGCTCCCCATTTTGGAGGAATTTGGGAAGCTGCAGTGAAGTCGGCTAAGGCATTGCTTCTTCGTGCCATGAACTCCCAAGTTTGGACGTTAGAAGAGTTTACCACGGTGTTATGTCGAGTAGAGGCTGCTTTGAATTCGCGCCCTCTAGTACCAGCATCATCTGATCCGAATGACCTGGAATGCTTAACACCCGGTCATTTTTTGATTGGTCGTCCTCTGATATCGATTCCGGAACCTGTGACTACCAGTACGCAAACAGGACTGCAGACTCGCTGGAAGCTCCTCCAGCAGTCTTTCCAGTTCTTTTGGCGACGTTGGTCCCAGGAATATCTAAACACTCTCCAAGTTCGTGGAAAGTGGACCAAAGATAGCAACAACGTCGAAGTTGGTAATATGGTGGTAGTAAAAATTAGCGACACCCCCCCTCTTACGTGGCCTTTAGGTAGAGTGATCGAGGTGTATCCGGGCACAGATAAGATAGTGCGGGTGGCAAAGGTTAGGACCAACCAGGGAGTGTTCACTAGACCAGTTGTGAAGTTAGTACCGTTACCTACGGATTTGTAGGACAGGATAGGTACTAATTAGATGTATTTCCGTCCACCAGTTTCCTTTGCACCCTTATACTCGTCCGCTATGGCTGAGTTCATTATGTATTATAAACTATAATTAATTGGTTTTACCAGCCATCACGCCTGCTTCTGGATGTTGGGCCGGTTGCTCCACCTCTGGATCCAGTGGGGTATGGCAATGTTTATTGTTTTTTACTTTTGTTTATTTTCAGGTATTATGTTGTTACTATATTGATATGTTTTTATGATGATAAAAAGAAAATAATGTAACTAAATCTTGGATAATTAATTTTGTATGTTATGTTGTTAAACATTGTTATTTTAGCTCGGTTAATACCGTAGATTTGTTATATTTCGTTGCAAAAAAAGACTGTTAAAAATGTTGTCCCTTTGTAAAGAAAACCCGATCATCGCTCTGGGCTGCTCAACTGCTCAACTGCTCCGTTCAACTGCTCAACTGCTCTGCTCAACTGCTCCGTTCAACTGCTCGACTGCTCCGTTCAACTGCTCTGCTCAACTGCTCCGTTCAACTGCTCAACTGCTCCGTTCAACTGCTCAACTGCTCCGCTCAACGGCTCCGTTCAACTGCTCAACTGCTCCGTTCAAGGCTCCCAGCTCATTCAGAACAGATCGAACTTCTTATTCCAAGTTAGCTGGAACTTGCAAGGGGGAGTATGTTCCCTCCGTTTGATAACAGAATTGCCGCCGTCGGTGGTCACGCTCGACCGACCGCCGCAGTAACCATGTTCATGGGCGCTGCGCGCCGGCAGCCGCAATTTTGGCAACACTGGTAGACCGTTACCGGCTCTCGGTATTCGAGCTCGGACGTCCGCGTCTCGCGGTCGTCGTATGCGTATGCGTCTAGCTCGTCCGTACAGTTTTTATGCTCAAAACCACGTTTGGTCGCTATGCTCAACGGCCCGTCCATGGGCGTCCGCCATTGTTCCGTGGCAGATACAAGTTCGCTCGCTTCGCTGTAACCAGTTCGATTGGTGTTAAAATGGCGTTCACTCTCCGTTTTTCCGTTGCAACGAGTACCCGACCGCTCCGTCTACACGTTGTTGTTCTGCTCGCTCGTCCGTCAGCCATCTTTTCCCGTTTGGGATAGTTACGGAAAACGTGTTTATTGTTTAGTGTTAAACATCGCGGTTGTTCGGCCAATTAACTCGTATCGCTCTTTTATTGACTGTCGTCGTCCAGTCTGCTCTCGTCAAGTTCGTGACAATCGGCTCCGAGTAGCCTTACCTACTCTACCATACTTCGCGTCCACGTGCGCGGTTGAACGCTCTTCGCTCCACGACACGACGGTGCATACGCTCGCACCCGTGTTCCAGATACAGCAGCTCCGCACCTACAGTTCACCAGCTCAAGACATCGGCCAGGGAGGCAGCTCAGTCGGTGATCCCCGTTTCCCCCCTGACTTAATATTGTATTATTGTATAATTGAATTACCTACCTACTGTTCATGTGGTATACCTAACAATACATGCTCCTGATAGTTAGTAATCTCGTGTTATTTTTGAATCTTATAAATTGCCTTATTCTACAACAATCCTGAGGACCTCGTACCAGGCGATATCTGATCTTAAGGATCGCCGGGTCAACATTTATTGTATCACGTAATGCAGTAAATTGGCAATTTTATTTATCACGAAAGTAGACTTTTCGGTAATAAAAATCCTCGGTAAGCTGAAATCCGTATAAGAGTGAGTTCTGATATATGAGCACTTGAATTTGACACTCAATTTTGGGTGATCTTTGCCGGCAAAATATATTTACTGTGCAGCGATCGAGTAAAACGACGACAGATATGAATCGTATACGAATGCACTTGTTGATGTACGCATCGTGCTGCAGCAGCCGATAATTAATATAATATTACCATAATAATAATTATATCATTATCTTCGTCGTCGGTGGATGGACATTTTTACACAAATATAATATTGAATGATACAAATAATTATATTATATTTCACACGTTTATACTTTGTACCATCACCTCTTTACACCACCGCAGTCACGTGGTGCCATATTATAATTCTGCTGTACAATATATACGGAGCACAGAACCGGCCGAAAGTTTTAGTTCCCGATCGCTCGACGATCACGGAGTACAAAATGTGTGAAACTGATTTTGAGAAAATCGTGTACTCGACACATCGAAGACTGCACCTTATTATACTATATGTATACTGCAGTGATATATATATATATATATATATATATATATATATATATATATATGTGTGTGTGTGTTCATGTATGAAACACGATCAGTCTCGGCCGGCCGTGGTGAAGAACGTCAGCAAATAACTATTATAATAATATATGTAATATACTAATATATATAATATATTGTACGCATATACTGGCGTCTTCGTCCGACGGCATCGGTTCATTAGCGCGTCTATTAAACCGTTTTTCCCGTGGCCAGAGTTTCCTAAGTTTTGCACGAGCACGTTTCTCCGACACCCCACCTTCCCCTTACCCGTCGGCGACACCGTCGTCAAAAGAAGTACAAGTAGAAGAAGAAGAATGAGAAGCAAAAAACCTTCGATCTCGATTTCCGGTCGGAGCAAATCGTGACTATGGAATCGTTCGGGCCTAACCGTTCCGCCGCCACGTAATGTGCGAGATCATACAGCAACGCGATAGCAGTTTATATACCAGCTTTATATATAATATATTATATATATTAAGGTACTGTAAAATACTACTAAAATTATAAAATTTTGTACGTTGAGAGAGTTTTCAGCTTTTTCCCGTTGGATAATTGTGTGTGCAAATGAACCGTGGTACTCACAGCTTTCCACAGCGTCGTGCGAAGCTTTATAATGTTTTACATTGATGGGTAGATACCCCACTATTGGCGTAACTTGAGGAATTTGGTGGGACAATTTTATTTTTTGCCATTCTAACCAAAGATTAGATTTACTATAATAGGTATCTGTAGTTTGACGCCATATCTGAGCTAATTTTTTAATATTATATTATACCTACATATTATTTGATAATAGGTACCAGAGGTCCCTGTATAAAAAAACAAAAATGTAATTTTATGTGGTATATCCGTTAGAAATATTTTACCTATTAATTTAAGTATATTTTATGTATAGCGCGAGTTATTGTCCAAACGTTCTTATCCACATTTTTTCGTATGGTTGTAAATTTATTCAAATTCTTATTTTGGGAATTTTTTTTCAAACACTCACATTTTTTATACCATTTATAAAAAGTTTATTTTGGTGGAAGAACCTTTTTTTTTACAAATGAAAGCCAAAAATTTACTCTAAATGATTGTAAAATAGATAATTTAAAACAAATACATATGAATTTAATTTAAAATATATAAGTAGACACTAGATGGACACTAATACAGTAATACCTACTATAATTTATAAGTAGGTATATTATAATCAAAGGTTCATACATATTAACTATTAAGTATACCTAAAATACCAGAGACTGTAACGTAGTTAACTAATCAGCCCCTTTATTTCGATCACTGTCCTCCTGAGTCAAAATCGTAGGTTAACCCACTCAAACCCACCTTTTTCCAAAATTATTCAAACGCCACCTTTCCATCTTGAAATGTAATATCTGTATAACTTAAAATATTAAAAAAAAATATGTGGATGACAAAATATAAAAAAACATTTTAGGTTTCTAAACATAAGTTTAGAACAACTATTATGTCCCCGTGACCCCGTCCGGCCGTTATTTACCAGTAGGTACATATTATATAGTTACAATTGTTGATATTAAGATATTTATTTATTGTAAAAGTGTTTAATATAATATGTAGATTAATACTATCTAATTTACATTATCGTAAAAATATTATTAAGAAACTTAGTATTTTATTTCGAGGTTTTAATATTTACAAAAATATATATAATAATAAAATATTTTAAATAAATATAATGTGCTTTAAATGTATATTTTAACAATACAACAAATGTAAGTAAGATAATTTATAAATTATAACTGAGAGATTTTAGTAGATGTTTAAAATGCATGTTCACTTCTTTTGGGTGCCACATAGCACTGATTTCATATCTATGGACCTTCATAACAATTAAACATTTAAAATATTTACAATCATATTTTTACTTAATATGGTGTTGTATCAATCGTAATATATGCATATATTAATTGACTAATATTTTTAATTTTTGCCAAACAAATTGTTCTATTACAATGCTTAATCAACTTTATCTGGTATTCAAAACATCATATTGTGGCTAACGAAAGGTAGGTGAGCGAGAATGAAATATTCGAAAAGTCCTAATACAATATGTATTCTGTCATTAAATTAAATACATTTTATAAATAAAAACATACTCATAAAATATAACACTTCCCTACCAAATAGTATCACCGTAGAAAGTTTATAATGTTAAAAGCCAAATGTTCACGAAATACCTTGGTTGTATTAAATGAGCTATGCATATTTTGAAAATGTTCGAACACGGACGCGTTTTCTCGCCACCTTAGTTTCGGCATATGTCCCCAAAGCTGTCGCTGCGCCTCGGATGCCGAAGCTCACGAGGTGGCTTACCCCCCCTCGGCCGTCCAGCGCCGACCCGTTCGCCGCCTTAGGCTGTGCCGCCTCGTAGTCGTGTGTCTTTTCCAGGCGGTCGAGCCCGACGCATCGTTGGGTTTGCTCGCCTCGTTTCACTGGGTTTTTGCGACCAAACCGCTTGTACCTACAGCCGACGCGTTTCTGTGTTAAGTCGTCGCCATAGGCGTAACTAGAGGCCAAACACTGGGGGTGCTAAAATAATGTAGAGAACACAAACCAGCGGGGGCTATGCCCCCACACCCCAAAATAACATACTTTGGTTTTATAATTACTATAACCATTCCTAAATGCACGATGAACATTGAACACATAAGGACACTTATATTTAAGTAAATCAACAGTAATATACCTGATGAATACATGAGGTATATTATATTATTTAGGTGATAAAAATAGTAACCTGGAAGTGTAAATAGATAAAAAAAAATGTGGTCAAGTGGGCACCGCTTTGCTGTACAATAGTTGTTGAGAATGTCGTTGTAGTGGATGTGTTATATTTGAATTTAATTTAAAAAATTTTCTCATAAATAGCTATAAATAGTTCATAAAAAGTTAAAAGTGTTAAAATAATTTACGATGTATGGAAAATGCTAGTTTAAATATTTGGTGCACATTTCAAGAGTCATATACGGTTATTCATTTTGGAAATACAACAAAATCCAAAAAATCGATTAATGGGAATTCGAATATCGTGACAATTATAAGTTCGAACACTCATAAAAAATTCAAGTTTAAGAATACGTTTTTTTATAGGTAGACAAACTTATGTGAAATCTTTTATTAACATTTTTAATATTAAGCCTTAACTGTGAAAAGAAAATATTTTATGAATTGCCAACTGAAAAATAATTAAAGATATTTGAAAAATTTCTCAGTTATAAATACCTCAAAAAGAGTCAAAATTGTTTAAACATTTTACCATGTAAGGAAAATTTTAATTTTAACATTTGATAAAAATTTCAAGTATCTAGGATTATTCGTTTTTAAATTACAACAAAATATCAAAAATGCATAGATGAAATTTCGTTAATTTACTGATAAAAATTGAAAATTGAATGTGTAGACATTTTAGATTCAAACACTCATAAAAAATGTATGTTACTTTCCAGTAAACTTTTTTTTTTGTTTAAGATAGTACCAATTGTGAGGAGTCTTCTATCAACATTTATAATGTTAGCTATGAAAGGAAAAACTTTTATAAATATTTCTAACTGAAAATTTCCAATAAAAATTGAAGAATTCTAAATTCTAATATTTGACATACCTATAATCATTACAAACAATAATTTGTACTTCTGCTAAAAACGAAGAAATAAAAAAAAACCTTAAGTAAAGCTAAAAAAACTATTTTTTTCATATGATTTTTCAATTTTTGCTGTTTTTGAACTGGGGGAGCTAAATTAAAGTTTGGGGGTGCTTCATGCACCCCCAAGCATCCCGCTAGTTGCGTCTATGGTCATCGCGTTATTAAACCTCGAAGTTTGTGTCACCGGTATATCATTGCGTGCCGCTGCGAATATATTGCGTGCCGCCGCTTATACCTTTGCGTGCCGCCGCTGGCTTGTTGCCCATCCATCAACATCCATCAAGTAGACCGATCATCGACGGCGGACCAGGCCAAAAAGCTTATCTTAACATTGTAATTGATTTAAGTGTATTGTTTGTTTTGAGGCGCCCTGTCTGTTAGTAATTTATAATATCTTGTTTGATGTACCCAAGTTGTTGTTACCTATTATAATTATTACGCGCGTAGCGCACTTACATAAGCATTAGCTCTTAATTGTTATTTCTGTTTTATAATATTGAGTCACCATGTCCTAACTCAACACACCGCAAGTCGTTGCCGCAAACCGCGAGAGAAAAGAAGGGGCGGCGCGGCGAACATTCAGAAAAATTAATGTTATTGAATTATAATAAAAATTTATTTTACCATTAAAAAGTAAACAGTATACACTAAAATACTCTTTTACATAATTTTATCCATTGACCTTTAGTTTTATAATAATATAGGTACTCCTATTTTGTATGCAAGGTAAATTAATATTTTGAATATTTCTGATTTTCCATGCACTTATATTATAGATCTGATATTAAAAAAAAATCTTTTGAAATATACCTAGAAAAATAATTGTTATTATTAATATAAAAATATAATGCGACAGTTGAGTTTTTTTCGAAAACAGATTTTAGTGTAAAAATTCCCGTTTTTCCTTTAATTTTAATTTTGTTTTTCACGCCGCTTTTGAAAACTACTGGGAAATTTTCACTTTTAACCCTCTAAAGTACTAACTAGATTCACTTTCCTATTAGAAAAGCTACTGTTGAAGAAAGTCCAAGCACTTTTAGTGTCCTAAAACGTGATGGCAGACACAAAAAAAAAAAAAAAAATATTTTAAATTAAAATAAAATACAGGTGGTAACAAATCTAGTCCAGCCAAAATTACATTAAAAGTTAACAGAGAACCTAATATACATCCATACAAGAGTTGTTGTAACACTTTTTAGAAAAAGTAATTGATAACAAATACAAACATTTTCATGGGCATTTATATTTTTTTTGATCACAAAAATGTATTTTGTGCTTTATGTTCACTACCGTAGACTAGTATTTATGAATAACTGACAAAAACTAAATTACTTTACATGACTAATGTCTGAAGTTAACGTTGAGGTATGGCCTAATAATGCCCGCTTAATTTAACGGTTCTGGGTGGGTGGGTGTTTGGTGAATGTTTACTAGTTTGTCGCCCCATTTTAAATTGAGTTCGGCGCCACTGAACAACTTTATGTATACTTTATATATGTTACGGGTAAAGTACAAAATATGGTTAGTGTTCACATCATCCGGGTAATGTGTACACTACCTGTACCTATTGGATAAAGTAAAAATACTATTTATAAAACGTTTATTTCGTACTTTTACACATTTTACACATTATCTATGACTGAGTGGGTAAAGTTCTTTGATAAATTGTATACGACAAAATAACGATTGTAGATAAATGTTTATGAAGAAACACACGCAATAATATTTAGTACGGTGCTAGTTCGTCTTAATACACGTGTCGTACATATTATAGGTTTTTAAAATGACTTCACGCGAAAAATTTTATGAGTGTTTTTATAAAATAGTTAATGAAAAAAATAATAATTCAGTTTATTTATCGACAGTTAAGTATAACAAAATAGTTTCGGAAATTAAAAATGTGAGATCAAGTGGAATAAAAAGTAACAAGACATATCGAATTTTGAAAAGATACGACCTCATTACTATTGGAGAAGAAGATAAATTAATATTGCCGTTGTTGGAAAGTAATACAAACATTGTGTACTATATTACTAATGAAAATATCTATGATGTGCTACACGATATACATTTGAGTATTGGGCATGGTGGAAAACACCGCATGAATGCTGAAGTTAAAAAAAAGTATAAAAATATAACACAAGAAGCAGTGTCTATTTACTTAAAGTTTTGCGAATCGTGTCAATCTAAACTTTGTATAATCTGTACCATTTTAAGTGTTTGATGCGTTGGTCATGTTAGACCGAAGTTATAAGTTTACGATTATAGTTATACGAATACATTATCCACAGCACACCAGATAATGTATAAATTGATTGGATACTACATATTTAAGGTGGATAATGTATACATTACACTGTTCGTCTGTTCGTATGGATGAGGTTCACATTACCCGGGTAATATGTACACTAACCGTTTTTGT